CCATGATTTGATCATATATTTTCTCTCCCTCCCGTGGTCCCCTTTATCCTTTGGTTGGTTAGGCTAATGGAGGGACGCCATGCGGTGCAGCGAGGAAGTCCAAGCGTGGGAGGTGTGTCCACACGAACATCACGGCGCTGGGTGTTATGGGCAGCCAAATTAGCGAGGAGCCCATCGACGAGGAGAAAGGGGAAGATTCCGGCGAAGAAGGCGTTGGCTCAGCGGCGTCAGAGTATAGGCGCAACAAACCCGCGTTTGCATCAAAGGTAGACAAGCTGTTGAGGGTAACCGGCACCATCAAGTTCCCGGTAGAGGTCCTTGCTGTCCTGACCGACGAGGGAGCAAGGGGCAGTCTCGACGGCGTTGGCGGCAAGCGAAAAGAGATCTGCAGCCTCCAGGCGGTGTGCCAAAAGTGCGGCAACATGCTTGGCCTATTGCGAAGCGAAACGATCACAGCCGTGGTTCCGGTGAGTGGAGTTGGCGATGGTGGAATGTTGTGGTGAGGTGCGATGATTCAGAGCTTGTGATCGCACGTTGCAACCTGGGCCAATGTCATTGTAGTTTATTGGTGAAGAACCTTTGGGAAGATCGGGCAGGACAGGAGAAGAGGGGGACGGCACTATGGGTAAGGGTTCCGCGCACCGATTGACAATTTGTGTGTGACGCGAAGACTCAATGCCAGATTGCGACTATGTTTTCAATGGGGGAGAATATAGTGTAGGATACAACACTAACAACACTTAACATATTTGATTGCCTTTCAAATATTGAAAAATAATTTGGGATTGTGTTCAATCCTTCATCTCCCCGGGCCGCCCTGTTGTTTTCCTGTAATCTCACTGCCCAGGGTCCGGACTTGCAGGAAGTTGTGATAAAGATCAAGGGCTGTGAGGGCTGCGGTGTGGAAGCAGTGACGGGTGATGATTGGCGAGAGCACGGGTATTTCCTGTTCGGCAACAAGTTTGCGGTACATCTCTCGCACATGGTCACGGCCCGGCATGCCGTTCAAGGAGGCACGGCCATAAGCCATGCGTTCAACAACCTCCTCCGACCTTTGACGAACAACCTGCGATGGATGAGCCAGAACAAGTTGGCGAGAAGGTTGGAAGCTTGGCCGGGAGAGGGCAAGGGTATGAGATTCAACCTTGCCGGGGGCAAGGTGACTCGGGAGTTGCGTGGTTCTAGCGGTACCAACAAGATCGAGATCAGCACGACCCACCACACTTCCCGACGACCGGGCTTTCTCCATTACCTCGTGTGCTTGCTAAGACGATGGAGTATAGTGAGAACTTGGGACGTGCGCTTAAATATTGACGTATGTTCTCATGCCTTACGTTCGTACCTGTTTCCCACCCCGTTCTGCCCTCTTGCCTGCCGTACTCTGCCGCACGCCAGAGTCCTACAAAACAATTACCTCACGAAGCAGTTGGTGGACGCCTTCGTTTGCTTCGAGGCCCTCACCGACCACCCGTACGCGTTCCGCAGCTACAAGCACGGCTACACCCCACTTGTCAGCGAATGGGATGGCTGCAACAAGCCGGCCGTGAACATCAGCATGGAAGAGTATTTCGGAGCGCGCGAGGAGCAGGTGGTGGACATGGACCTCGACTGGCTCTGGCTCATCATCAGCATGCTGTCGCCGATGGTTTTTCGGGAGACAGTCCAGTTCTCGCACAACACGCCTGTCACCTTTTGCCCCCAAAACCAGAAGTCTAACATCATCACCATTCCCGCTCGCGGGAAAGCCCGGCAGCCAGGAGATGTCGAGGCAGCCGATGGCAAGGTACTCATGGACTACGTGGCGACGAAGGGAGAGGGGCAGCTGTTGGAGGACATGTTGGAAGGCATGACCAAGGACGACCTGGACGCCTTGTACTGCTTGTGCTTTGGGAAGAACGGGCCGGGAATGAGCAGGTGAGTCGATGTGTTTAAACACGACTCTTTTGCTGCTCCTCCAAGTACACACGGAGATACTTTATGTTGGGGTGTGGTGCGGTCAATTTGGCTGGAGACGGCGGTTGATCGATTTGGCACGATTTTATAGATCCAACACGGATCCAACAAA